GGTTTTTTTTTTTTCTCTCCTCTCTACTTCACTGGAGAAGGAGAGACTGTGTGAGTTTTAGTTGCTGGATCAGCCTAAAACCACTACAGCAAAGTACAGCCAATGAGAGACCAAGCACAAGCTCTTCCTCTCCCTCTGCTCTCACTTGCTCCCTTCCTCAGGGATCAGGAGAATACCCAGAGCTCCCCAGCTAACTAATTAGTTGCAAGCCAACTAATTTTTCAGTCATGCCAGGGAAGGATCGTACGCCTTCGAGCAGTTTTGGCCTTGTCTAGAGCCCCAGTCTGATGTCCTTGCTAGCCACAGGGATGGCAGGATTGCACAGCCGAGTCACTTAGACAGCAGGTGTGCCCATCCAAGGCTGGTTGTTAGATGGGCTTCGGAGACATGCTATGCACAGGAGTTAAAGAAAGAACATGAAGCGGTGTCTCAGTATGCGGAGGATTCAGCAAAAGGTATTAAAGTAGTTACTGTCACACTAAATCATGCTGACAGTTTTATTTTGTTGGACAGAGAAGACAGAGGATATTAAACCGTATTGAAATAAAATAGCCATAAACAAATTTTCCACTAATGAAAAGTTCTAGAGGGAGAGGAAAGCATGTGCCTGGAGGGGGAGAGAGAACAGACTCATTATGTTTTAAAAATGGCACAGAAAAAGCCTTCACCATAATCTAATGGCATAACAGAAAAATGTTCTTTAAGAATGCCGCATAATTCAGCTCTGTGAGATTCACCCTATTGGGCTCTAGGCACTTACCAGAGGCATCTATTCCCGCAGCATGGTTGCCTTAGGCTCTCTCTATTGGAGACAGACACCTCCAGATAGCAAAGCGCACTCTAGGTGGAGATCATTGCCACAGCCTGCTCTCACAACGAGAAAAGCACCGATGACAGCAGAGAAACTGGCAGAGAAAGCATAGTGGTTACAGCCTGCTTGCAGAGGAGGAGCAGGAGGAAGGCAGCTAGCTTGACCACAGCTGTCACCCAGTCAGCTGGGAGCTGCTGGGCTTTCACCTTCATCAGAGCAAGAGGTGCAGTAACGGTGCAGCTCAAAGGTTTTATCTCTCTTTTTCTTTCACCACTATTGCCTCCCTCACTCAATCCTCACCATCAGAAATGTCCCCATCACACCGAGAAGAACAGAGGAACTGCACAGGGAGTGTGAGGGCAGAGGGAGAAGACGAAGGGTTGGAGGAAACAAAACTCCTCTTGGAAAGGCACGTGCTACTGTAGCTGAGGAAAGGCAGTTGGGATGGAAGGCATCCAGTGGGAGAAAGAAACTTGTTAAGTAACAAAGCTGGAAGAGATCTGGAGGTGGCCGTAGTCAGCAGGCTAAGTGCTGCGAATCTGAAATACCATTAGCAACAGGCATAGGCCAGGGAAGGCTCTGTGCTGCACAACAGCCAGCCTGGCTCATCAGAGGGCTATGGCTCCTCGTCACACTGATGGCTGCTCCAGCTACACACGTGGTGCTCAGCTTCAGGTCCTACGTTAGCAACAGACCACTGACAGGCTGGAGAGAGTGGTGACAAAAGCAACAGTGATTAACACAGGATTTTCAAGAACAGAGTCAACTTACTAAATCAAATTAATCTAGCATGAAATTTAAGTGGGAGACATAACAATGATCCATGTATGTGAAGGGATAAAAGGAAAAATTAAAAAATTAACAGCAACAAATAAATCATGCATTTAGACTGCAGGTAAGAGGAAAGAAAACAGAATAAATATTGAAACTATTTCCTACAGATTTATCTGCTCAGTCTTACCCTGTCAGTTTGTATGTGTCCCCATCACTGTGCTATCTTATGAGCAGTAACCTCTGGAATAGAGTATCCAAGCAAATGAAAGTCATTATCTCACTGTCAAGCATTGAAAAAATACCACAGGTTGCATGTACACAATGAGAGTGACAAATAGCAGGACTATTATAAAAGAGGGCCCAGACCACCTCATGGGCTAAGATTATTGGTATCTAGAACCATTATACAAAGAATAAAATGACTCCACTCTTACATACTGCCTGTACCAAAGCAGGCTACAAATAAATGCCAACCATGTTTCTGTTATAGCACACTAGAGACCTGATCAATCACTTTGGGGCGGAAAAGTGATCCACAGACTTGGGTGGAAATGGTTCTCACTTTCATAAGAAGGAAGGTGAATAACAGTGAAAACTTCAAAATTGACACAAAGTAAAATGTAGGATTTAAAGGCGAATTTCACCCTGGCACTAACTATAGCAAGAGATTTCTTCTATGATGAGGTTACAGCATTGATGGATAGGTGAAGAGCAACTGACATCATCTACCTGGACTTATCCAAAGCATTTGATACTGTCCCACACAACATCCTTGTCTCTAAACTGGAAAGACATGGTTTTGATGGATGGACCACTCAGTGGATAAGGAATTGGCTGGATGGTCACACTCAAAGAGTTGTGGTCAGCGGTTCAATGTCCAAGTGGAGGCCAGTGACGAGTGGTGTTCCTCAGGGATCAGTACTGGGACCAGTGCTATTTAACATCTTTGTTGGTGACATGGACAGTGGGATCGAGTGCACCCTCAGCAAGTTTGCAGATGACACCAAGTTGTGTGGTGTGGTCGACACACTGGAGGGAAGGGATGCCATCCAGAGGGACTTTGACAGGCTTGAAAGGTGAGCCCATGTGAACCTCATGAAGCTCAACAAGGCCAAGGGCAAGGTCCTACACATGGGTCGGGGCAATCCCAAGCACAAGTACAGGCTGGGTGGAGAATGGATTGAGAGCAGCCCTGAGGAAAAGGACTTGGTAGCGCTGGTGGATGAGAAGCTCAACATGAGCCGGCAATGTGCACTGGCAGCCCAGAAAGCCAACCGTATCCTGGGCTGCATCCAAAGAAGCGTGGCCAGCAGGTCGAGGGAGGGTTCTGCCCCTCTACTCTGCTCTTGTGAGACCCCACCTGGAATACTGTGTTCAGCTCTGGAGTCCCCAACACAAGAAGGACATGGAGCTGGTGGAGCGGGTCCAGAGGAGAGCCAAGAAGATGATCCAAGGGCTGAAACACCTCTGCTATGAAGACAGGCTGAGAGAGTTGGGGCTGTTCAGCCTGGAGAAGAAAAGGCTCTGGGGTGATCTTATTGCAGCCTTCCAGTACTTAAAGGGGGCCTACTAGAAAGCTGGAGAGGGACTTTTTACAAGGGCATGTAGTGATAGGACAAGGGGCAACGGCTTTAAACTGAAAGAGGGTAGATTTAGAATAGATATAAGGAAGAAATTTTTCACTCAGAAGGTGGTGAAGTACTGGAACAGGTTGTCCAGAGAAGTTGTAGATGCCCCATCCCTGGAAGTGTTCAAGGCCAAGTTGGATGAGGCTTTAGGCAACCTGGTGTGGTGGAGGGTTTCCCTGCCCATGGCAGGGGGGGTGGAACTAGATGATCTTTGAGGTCCCTTTCAACCCTAACCATTCTATGGTTCTGATTCTATGATTCTAAATCTCAGTGAGAAATGGATTTCTTGACTGTCATTTTTGTCTGTGAAAACTTCCTGACTCTCTGAAGTATGTCAGTGCAGATATTATCAACAGGCAAACATACTAATGGTTATACACTTGCGTGAAAAATGTGGTACTAGCAAGGAAAAAAATTAAGAACATACTTAGAATAGCAGAATGAAGCAATCAAAAGGCCCAATAGAGCCGAACCTCTGAAAATGTGAAGGATAAATGGAGAAGGTTTGGACAAGACTTCACACTGTGTTTGCAAGCAAGAGGTACACACAGGAAGGAAGAGAGATGGAAAGGAACTGATTTTCTAGAAATAATTATTTCTGAAGCACTTGGTAATTTAAAAGTCGTGAGAAGGCTGTCTATGCAACTGTACTACAAAAATTTGAGGTGCAAGCTGTTCCATATGGAATTGACTTGAATTGACTGCATGTTTTCAAAGACAGATTACAAAGGGAAGAGTGGAAAATAGCAGTGTTTGTGTCAATGAGCCAGTCTGGAATCCCTAAGAAGAGACTAGATTGTGTTTGGGACCTGAAGCACATACATAAAATCACACAAGACTAGTGGAAGTACCCAAATTTACATTTAACAAACCAATTCCAGACAAAAGAAATCAACTGGTCAGACTTAATTATATGGAAAGTGTTCAGACAGCTTGAGAGGACAACAACTGTAATGTACAAACAGAAAGGAGACAGTAGTTACAGATCTACTCATATGGCTTTCTAATAAAAGGTGAAAATTTTGAACATAGGTTCCCTTGTTTTGCTCTAGCTGCTGAAAATGTGGGCACATATATTATTAATGGTTAAGACATACAGGCTGAGTAAATGTTAGACCCCAGGGAAATTATGAACACCATTCAAACACATGCAAACTCGGCATTACTAAATGAGTTCTGCGGAATACAAACCAGTTCCAGTGTTCAGTGCTAACAGCACTGTTAGCAAGATAAAGAATTTGCACTTCCAAGTAGCAAAGGGCTGTCTATAATACTTTCCGTAAGTTTTTTTCTTTTTTTTTTTTTCTCCTCAGCAGAGAATAAAAAGGATTTTGATGAATCCAGAGAAGCCCGAACATCATGAAATATTTGCCTGCTACAGCAAGTATTTAACAGAGCTAAATAATGTCTGGTCCTTATTTTAATTACTAGTAATTTCCATTGAAGACTCTGCCCCTCTAGGCACACAGCTGGAAGGAGGAGAGATACAAAATGAGAAGGTCTTTGGCCGGGGTGTTTGAGTTTAGACTCCTATTCCCTTACCTTTGCAGCAATAACAGTCCCTTCAGGCTGATGGACTTCATGATGCGGAGAGACAGACTAGTCAGTAACTTTTCACATCTGTCAATTCATTACTCCTTTCTGGAGCATCCACTTTATGACTGCACATAGGGAGTCACTGTCTACTCTCTGCCTGTCCCAACAACGAGCTAGGAAACTACCCAAGGCTGCATATTACAGCCTAGGCTTTCTTTGCCCACAGCTGGTAGCAGAATTTGTCCCTTAAGTCAGTAAGCATTCAGTAGTTTGGTGGGTGCATGCAGGTGTCTCTGTCTAGAATAAGGAAGGGGAGAAAAGGATATTGGTTACTAACCTTCTGCCTGGATGATCATAACATTTTTCTTCAGATCAATTGAGGGATTTATAAGACACAACCTTGGCTCCTGCTTCTGAGTCATGCAGACCCCATTCTGGTTTACAACCATCCAGCTACGGTCATACAACAAACCCTGGTTTCCCACTGGCCATTCTGTAACCTGGAAAAGCATCAGGAGCGGATACAAAAGTTTAGAAAATGTTACCTGCATTAATAGATTCATGCTGAAAAGAAAAGAGAGGGAAAAGAAACCATTAATGGAATATTTTGAAATCAGGAAAACTTGTGCAAGCCAGTGTGTCAGCCTTTAGTAACAGAAACCTTAATTGCAAATCAAAGATAAAGATATCACTGCACAAAGCTGACAAAACAAATATATAATTTGTTACTATAATTTGCTACATATTATCATACACTTTGATTTAACAGAGCCATGAGAAAAGAGTAAACAACCCCTGAAACACTCTGAAAACTGCTTTCAGTTTTATACTGATCCATTTTCAGGACCTTTTCCCCCAACAATTTTTTTTTTCCAATTTACAAACCACGGACATTTAATGGGAGTTGTACGAATTAAGACAAAACCAACCAACCAACCAGCACAAAAAATGTGAAATTCAAAATTCTGAAAAGCCTTCTGTATTTTTCATAAAACTGGAACCATTTTATCAATGAATTCATCTGAGAAAACCTCCACCACTGACGTTTCTAGGAGCATAATAGTTTCTCCGGATCCCTTTACAACGAAACACATTGTCTTCTTCGCTATCTGTTCTTCTATTACTACTACGATACTCTTTACATTCAATAGCCTATACAAGCATATTGTCCTTGCTTTCATGTACATTTTTCTGGTGAAAAGAACATCTGTTACTGATGCTACACAGATGGTAATCTTGAAATCCAAAAAGAGAGCAATTTTAGTAATGCCTTTGGGTGATATTAATAACCGCTTTCTCCTTCAGAATGTTAAAATATTAATACCATTCTTTTAACATAAAGCTGAGCATTTAAACATATTGCTTCAACTCATGTATGCTTCCTAGTTCATAGTTGAGTACAAAGAAAAGTTAACTACAGCTGAACTTTGTTGAATTCTAAGTGCAGCTCACATGAGTTAACCGGCAAAAGACTTCGGCAAAAAGTATTGAGAAAAAGATAGGTCAGGCACAGCCCGATGCTCTGAAGAAAAGCATGGCTGGAAGCACTGGTTAAATTAATTAAAAATCACATTTTTGTTTAGCATGTGCTCTATCCAAAACCCCACAGAACCACAATATCCCATTCTTACAAACCTTTCCAGGTTTTGTGGGAGCCTGCAGCAGTAGCTTGATACTGATGGCCTGGGTAGAGAAAGCTGAGGCAGGAACTCTGAAACTGGGAACGTAAAGCATTAAAGCTGAACTCTAAATAATTTGGCCACAGTGCTATCAGCTGTATTGAATACAGAAAATATGTGGAAAAATTTTAAAGATGAGAAATGTATTTTATCAACGTACTTAATTTATAATATTCTTTGGCAGTTTTTCAAGTGAGCATGGATGAAAAATTCAGTCAAAAATGGAAACTTTAGGTCTGACAGTGTCATCTGAAACCACATTGTCCAAGCACCTCAAACTGTCAGCGCCTATATGATGCGAACCTTCACTCTGTCTTTTTAGCAGAGGAATCATAGCCCAAAGACTGCAATATCAGCTGAAGAACAGACTTTTGTCCTTGCTGGAAATTATTCTTTGGAGAGGCCAGTATTTTTTTTGTTATCCTGTATAATTAAATTACAAAATGCATTAGAACAGCTGGTGATCATTCGAGAGCTGCAAGAATTTCCTGCTACCAAATTTCCCTTCCAAATCAGAAGATCACTAATCGGTAATACATCCTCCAATGGATCCAACAGATCTTTATAGAATTTGCAAGACATAATGAGCAGAATAAACTAAAAGAGCAGAAAAATAGAAAAAGAGCATGAAGAAAATGATTCCTAGCTCCCTATTGTAACATTCAGTTGGTTTGGTTCCACTTTAGATCAGCAATATTATTCAGGAAATAGCTTCAGTGTTTGCTTGCCATTCACTGAAGGTAAGAGGTTTTATGAGCAAAACAAAACATCTTCTCTGTAATCAGAGCTTCAGCTAATTCTTACATGCTGATAGGCATTGCGAGGAAGGCTCAGCTGACTAGGTAGGAGGTACCTGGAAATAATCAACACCTTCCGTTCAAAACATTCCTGGTAGGTCCAAAATAATGGCAAGTAACTCCATGCTCCACTCTGAGATGCAGCACATGACTACAGGTCCTCAGCCCATTTTTCCCCTTCTTCTGGGTATTTGCCAATGTAAAACGAATCATATGTACACGTGGCCAGCAGTGAGTCCCTGTCCTCTCAGGGGTGTCCTCTGTACACTGTTAAGTGTTCTACTTCCTCTCCACTTTTCAACTTACTGTATTGCATATGTTGCTAGGACCCCAATAAATAAAGTGGCAACAACAAAATAACTGTGTACCCTGTCTTAGACGACCATGAAACAGTCAGAGCTGGTTTGTTGCTAATACCAATACTGGAGATGGAAGAACATACACATTTCTATTCTTAGTACTTAGGCATGCGACCTGTGCAGACCGTCTCCAAACATTATTTCAAAGAGGCTGAAGAGATTATTGAATGATTGGAAGCAACTGAATTAGAGTAGTTCAAGCAAGTTCTGCCTGCTCTGCTTTCATGGAAGACATGAGAAGACTGGTTCAATTTGGCTCCCTCGGATTACATCTGAGACGTCTGCCCAAGGCTAGCAGAAATCACACAGGCTGCAAGGATGATCCACATCCCAGTGGACCAGCAGCAGGAAGGAGGTCAGTCAGGGCACTCAAATGTCACCAAATACCTATATTCAGGCAATCAATACAGCGAACCAAAGCAACCGATGAAGCTTACTGTGAACTAAAATAAAACAGGTCAGCGTACATTGCAGTAAGCAATGCCATATTACACAGCTCTTTACTTCATTCCTTGTTGTTGTCTGGTCATCTCTGACTACTGAGGCAAATTAGAAAGGAGAGGGCAGAAGGAAATCAGGGACGCCATGATTTTACTGACAGATGCTAGCACACACCTTCATTCCCAGCATGGCACGTGGGCTAATCATCCAACATAAGGTCTTAAGCACATATTGTTGCACAGCACAGACAGTACATGGTACTATTCTATCTGCTTTAGCCCACTTTTTCTTCTTTCAATGTAAAAATATTCATTGCAAAAATATGTGTTTGGGTTTTTTTTCAGAATTTTTTAAAAAACATTTTGGGTTGCATTTTTCCATAGTTCACAGTAATGTCATCATAAAGGCTAACACAATTTTCGAACACATTAAAGGAATCACTGAATAGGTTTTAAATTATGCAAATTTAAAAATGTTAGTGGTCTTACATTTAAATTATCCACTGATCACTAGGAATTTGCATTGTATTTTAAATTAAGAGCTAATTTGTCTTCTGTGTTGAGATGCAATTTTCATACTCTGAAATCTACTGCATGAATAATAAAGTTATTAATGTTTAAAGTCCTAACCTTTTTCACTGGGCACTCTGCATTATGTAATTATGCAAAATTCATTGACATGAGAGATGTTCATGTTTAAAAATGCATGTTTAAAACACATTTTTACATTGGAAAAGAAGAAAAAAAAGAGATCTAGGATAGAGGTTACTCCTCTCCTCTGCATCTCCCCATTTAGTAAATTAATTGTAGGGAAAGAGAGTGCATTTAAGAAGCTGAGTTAGAATATTCTGCCCTCCGCTTCCCACACCCTGTATACAAACCCCATGGAACAACATTGAACAGAAACCATCCCGTGGCCAGGAACACTTTATAAACGCGCATGCTGTAGGAATTAACCAACCTGCAGCGAGCTGATCTTCATGCCAAGCTTCATCCTCCCAGCTGCCAAAGCACTCTGCGCTCTCCTTTTCTCTGGAGGTCAAGCACCTCCCATACTAAAACACTTAGCATACAGCAGAGAAATCAGAGTTTAGGAGAGCAGGAGATTATGTGACTCTAAAGAGGAGATCAAACAGCTGTTAGTTTGCACTCATATCCTCATTGAGTTTGTCCTCCCTCTGCTAATGAAGTCATCTGTCCTGCAACCAGTAAGTCAGCAGGCAGACTTCACTGGCAGACAGGCTGAGTCCTGCACACACTCTCAGCTGGAATTTTCCACTGCACATATTATTTTAGGCAAATGCAAGCGATCATGTACTTATAATAAAGCCCATTTACTACACATGCTAAAGGTCTAACCTACCACACCAGCTGGAGGCCTACACTTGAACTTACAAATCTATGAGATTCTGATCTCAAGTATCCAAGTACAAGATGAATTAATTTATTGCTGCCCAATATCTAAAACACTTTCACCTTTCCACATCAACTAGCTTAGAACTACCTTACACCTGATAAAAAAGGAAACCAAATTTTTAACTGGAAAAATCTTTTTCTAACTTTCCAACAACTACAAAGCATCTAAAGGTATTTTAGATTTAAAACATGAAACTGAACTTAAATTATTGGTTTCTAACTGAAAACCAAGGAAACTAAAAGCTACATGATTATTACTTCAGAAGTTTATGAGTTTACTAAAGTAAGGAGATAATACACTGTTAAGCCTGAGGTCTGTATGACAAAGACCACTAAGAGACTTGCAAAGGAATACTGTTCTATGGGATTCAATCTTTTCATGATAAAGCCTAGAAATGCTGGTATAATAAGGTTTCTCTAGCATGTCTTGCTTCAAACTCTGGTGCCATGAGGCATGGGTTATTTTCCCTTTTAAAGATGATACAGGCTGAAGTTGCAGTAATAACATACATAGATTTGTGGAGAGTGATGAACTCTGCAGTTAGTAATAATGTGGGTTCTGGCAGTACTGGTTTTCTACTCTACTTTTAGCAATTGGGAAGAAAGCAAGCCATTGCTTGATTTAGAATGAGATTAACTGATTTTTAAAGCTCATTACAAATGGTGGGCTGTAAATTGTCATTTGCACCTCTTCTATAGACAGATAATGAGATTGACAGGTCTTTCAAAGGCTGGTTATAAATGTACTACAGGTCTAGAAGTGTCACTCAGACCTTTGGGAACAAAAACCTGAAGAATGCCTGGTGGACAGGAAGAAGATCAAGAAAGCAAACACATTTTCTTTGGGGATTTATTTCAATAATTAAAATAATGAAAATCAATAAATCTTTTGGCTTCATCTCCTCGCCTGCTCTCTTTATGCATCAAAGGCTCTTTTTCATCATATCCATTAGGTCAACTTCTACTGTTCTTTCACACATACTCATATACCTTCTATGCACTAAGTGGACATTGAAAAAAAATGCTCTTTGAGAAAAGGAGGAGAAGAATTAAATGCTATTGATAGTGAACCTCCAGTTCCCTCTAATACCATATACTAAAGTCAGTATATATTTAATTGTATATTACTCTTTGGCAATAAAGGCTCTGACAGTGCTTAGCTTACTGGATTCTAATGTGGCTGATACTTTGTTATCAAAAAATATCAAACCAGAATACACTAGACTTCAAAAATGATCCTAGGTGTGCAGAACTAAACCTCATAATATAGCTGCAATTTTAATATCTGTATTTTAAAACAATTCAAACCAGCTAGAGTTAGCTGTGTAATCCAAGTTGCCTTGGATTCCTCCCGTCGTCAATGGAAAGAGACAGATGATCTCTAAGGTCTTTTCCGACCTAGAAATCTATGAATCTATGAATCCAGGAACAATTCATTTTTCCTACTGCAGATGGCTATTTTACAATACAATGAATTAGCAGGTATCCATCTCCCACTGCCTACAGAATACTATCTAACTTTGGAGGGGTAAATTGAGGTAAGATGAACCCTGCTTTGACATGTCTGGCACAAGAAGCATGCATGAGGAACAGAGATTTTCCACCTTCATATAAAATTGCAGTTCTGCCTGCCAGGGACTACCGGGTCTGCATGAATTCATCACCTAGAGTCGCTTCCCCTCACAGAGCTCGAAGAGGAGAATCCTGGCTCAGCTTGTGGGGAAACATAAGCTTTCTTTCATGCTGAGGTATGTCTTACCTGCTCCTGGGCACAATCACTTCAAAGCCTTGCTAGCACCGAATGTTGTGGTATGTATCTCACAACACCAGCCTGCACACTAAAAATAGAATTTAGACTTTAACCCCAATGGGGCCCAAATACTGCTACAACATATTTCAGCAGTTTCTGTAACACAGCTATAATAACCGCAAGACTTCAAGGTTAAAACATTTTTACATGAAATGTGGGATTCCTTTGATTTTCTAAACAGTTTGATTTAGTGGGAGGTTAATAAGGTGTGGAAATTGTTTGTTCAGGTCTCATTTAATGCTCAAAATTGTGCCTCTGAATTAAAGACACCATAAGCCAAACCAAATTTAAAAATACAGATGTTTTGTTGATCATTTTACAGACTTTGCTTTAATTCCCCATCTGCTTTTTGCATTAAGATAAAAAACAATAAATCATGATCAAATCAGTTGAGAAGCCATATTTTAAATGCAGGTGATTTGTCACTGGATTTGACCCCAATTTTCACTCAGATGTGAGACAGTGACCTACACCAGCAAGTTTTCATAGGGAAAGTTATACCGATATTGACATTCATTAAATCACTTCCCAGTATGGTACTAAGCAGAGTCACACTCTAGGTCATGTGTGGGCCATACACCTATTTCATAATGCATTATTAATAAAAAAAAAAAGTCACAGCTAAGGTGACAATATTATTAACTTGGTAAAAAAGCAATTAAAATCTTCAAAGACTGAACTTTCAAATAGTGCAGCAACACTGAAATGTCATATTTCTGTTGCAAATGTATTTTTAATGATAACATTTCTTTGTAATGTAAATCAGCCTCCTCTCAATTATAACATGTTAATCAAGTTATTTCTCAGTTGCTGCCTACCCATCAATGCCTACAAGTCCATCACATGTCATTCTGTAAAAGCACACTAATTACTTGATTATATTTTAGGCAAGTTTTGCAAATCCAACTATTTTCTTCAAGACTGCAAATTATGTGCAGATTTGTCTGTTGTGGGGGAAGGAAGAGCAGAAGACACACTTGCACCCTGCAACTTCAGTCTAATTGAAAATCCTTCAAAGTACCTTAGCATGCAGGACTTGATCCTGGAGCCTGAAGAAAAGGAAAAATGGGTACCCCCATACTGCTTCCTAATATCTCATGCACATGCTATTCCTGGTTGGCATGTCCGAGAGGGGTAAAGATAAAACACAAGGCTGAGATGAATATTTAAGAATAATTCAAAGTGTATACCTCAAATGCAGAGCAGGATTTGATTGGGTAGAGGAAAATGTTGGCGACAGTGATGGGCTTGCCACCTCTTCTAAATGTTGGCACTGCAGTCTCAGAAACAGCAGCCCTTATGCTTTCTGCCTCAGCCTCTGGTGGCTGCCAGTTGAGAGTCACCTCTGCTTCAGACGAATTATTCCTGAGTTCTTTGTCTGAGATGTCGGGTATTGGAGACAATTTATCTGCATTGTTAAAGGAAGGGTGGTCATCTGGGACAGACTTTGTTGTCAGCTTTGTAACAGAGGACTGGAAGGGAATCTCAGTGTCCAACTTGGAGAGTCTGGTGGCCATGATGAATTTCAAAAAAGTCTGAGCATCTTCAAAAGAAGACATATAGCCAAAGGATATTCTCACAGAACCAGTGGGACGTCCATCAATTATGTCTATATCATCTCCACAGACATGGCCAGCCTAGTTTGAAATAGGAAGAAAAACAGAGAGCTATTATGACAGACTTTGCTTTATTTCTCTTTATTTTTACACAGTTATTCATGAGTCTCTGAATCCTGACCTGAAAAACTGTTTCAAAAATACAAAGTTAACTCATGAATACAAAGAGAAAATGGAGAAAAAAATCCTGACTATCTTATTACTTACTCAAGCTGGGAAGAGGGTCATTTTGAGATGCTTGTCTTATTCTACTCTAAGGCAAGAGAGACTTCTCAAAAACATGTTAAGAATCAGAAAAAGTTTGTACATCCCAGGATGGCCTGTTAGCTAGGGCAGTCTCCAGGTATATTCCAGTCTCATCTGCATAGTTCATTGGGATTTAAACTGAGGTATGACATTCAGGTAAGTGAACGAACCACAAGACTGCTGATTTTTCTGGGGCAGTTTTCTTGATATTTGTTGTCAGAACAGTTCCATTTTATACTATCAGTGGCCTTATTCATGGCTTGAGTTACATCGTCCAATGGATAGCTATACAGCTGAGAACTGGTCTGGGATACTAGCAAAGCAGAGACTTGAATCTAGAACTCCAACATCCAGAGTGACTTCCCTTGTTACTGGGATAAGCAGTAAATCTGTCTTGCTGATACAGTCAATACCTTGCTTTCAGGTTGGAGGGAACTAGCCTTCCCTCTAGCACCTCCTCCTTTGAAGAACACAGGTTTCCACTCATGAAAAATCTTTGTTGAAAAAATCCCTCAAATACCCTAATAGTGACCTCCAGGTAGATATCCCTCTATTTGATATGTCTTTCATACTCTGTGGAAAACTCTCCTTTAGAGCGTAAGTTTCTCCTTCAGTAAATGGATCAGTGAACACTGCCACTCACCTCCAGTGAGACAACCTAGAGATCCCCTTTGATCATCCATCTAATGTTAGCTCACCAATGGACACAAGATTTAGTCCTAAATCAGCATCCTTACTCCTGCAAATTCAGCAGCTGCTTTTTGTTGTTTGCTTCCCCCCTGCCTCCCTCAGAAATTCATTTATTTACTCATTCTGTTACATAAAAATGGAAGTGTGAATAGATTATTTACATGAGGATTTTTTTAAAGAAATATCACAGTCCAGTAAACACAAATGCCATTTATGCAAGGAGAAATAAAAAACCACAACCCTCTATGTCAAAGCGTGCAATACAGTAGCAAATATTTTAATGCAATGTGATGTAGTCTTTCTCCTCAACAATAAGGCAGAAGCAACATTTGCAAAATTAAGTTGCATCTGTTAATATACATGTAGCCCTTCTGCCAAGTATTGATTGATTGACTGAGGGAGAGGTTCCTGCTGTGCAAACAGGTAAATGAGTTCCTACATAACATACTAAGAAAACTAACCACTTCTCCAGGGACCCCTGAGGACAGAAAATCCTCCCTCACAGACATTTTATACACACAAATCTCCATCGGGGAAGGAAGAATACAGCCAGCACCATGGGAAAAGGCAAAATCAAAGTATATGTACAAATAATATGATAAAAAATGCCTTCCCCTAAACAGTGAAGCTGTCAATAACTCATCCAGTTCATTCTCAAAGGACTGATGAGAATGTCTCAAAAAAATGACTGCTTGACTGCATCATCTCATCATATCACTTTTGGTAGATTAAGTGTCTCTTTATAAGTTTGAGTTTGGTCTATCCCCATATAAATGTTCAGCCTTATTAACATGATACAGGCCTACAAGAGGCCAACCAAGAGTGTTGCAAATGGTCATTTGGCATTTTGCACTTCAGCAGAAAAGCAGATCTTTTTTTTCCTTTCTCAGAGTGTCCTGGGAAACCTGCTCCTCCTCAAAAATTCAAGCATCTCTCACCTGCTTTTAGACAGATTATGCCTGAGGAGACTATGGACCTGGAGCTTTCCATGGTAAATCAAAGCACCATTTGCCAAGGAAGGTATTATAGAGCTCTCCCTCTTTAAGAACTTGTGCTATCAGTCTTGCGTATAAACATGTTTGCAAAAGTTATCTAATGATGACTTTTATGTAATGATAGCTCTGTGAAATTATAAGGGATCTATAACATCAATACAACCATTATAATTTTTTATCTTTTGAAGAATACCATTAATAACATTTTGAATTGTTCTGTATTAATTTACTATAATTTCAAACTCTGACAAATACACAGACATGAATCCTCCCCCACTTCATTGTAATACATTCTGCTACACGTCTTTTAATGAGGATATGGAAAGTATTAGTCATCTAGAAAAGTCTTTGCATTCATGCTCTAACAGTCTAACACACCAGTAATCTTGGTAGATGTCGTCTAAATCTACTTCACTCTCTGAGATTCACTGTGTATTCTCATTTATTGTTTCTTGTCCAATTTGTGTATGCCTTTTAAACTGTAACATCCAAGAGCAACAGGTCTGTAATACTTGAACATTATTAAGTACAATTAAGGATATTTAAGGAACAACATGAGATGAATTGTCCAGGGACTTCTGTTCTGCAGGATTTCATGTAATTCCAAATCAGGGGACACGCACAATTTCATATTTTCCAATGAAATAAAAACAAGCAACGCATATCGCTTGCAGTCCATCAAATGATTTTGTTTCAACATCTCATTTCAATGAATTGAATTTAATTTCATTTAATTATTTAAGATGGCAATTGAGTTGAACGGTCAGAGAAAGCAAATCAAATTTACCTTTATTCTTAAAGTCGCAGAGACTCAAAACGACACGACATCATACACCTACTTTAGCTTTTAACTACTCAAGGTTTTGGGTTTTTTTTGATACATAGTCGTATTTTCTTCTTACCTTCAAACCTCCCATCCTTAGGAAATGCAGAACTGATATCCAGAAGATGTCTCCTGGCTCACTGAATCTAGGTATTTTCCATGGACAATATATCATGTAATCTTACTCAGAAACTAACCTCCAGATTCCTTCGGATGTCCTCATTGCTTAAACCCAAATGCATCTGGCAGGCTCCTGTGTTACAGAAGCAACCTGTGCGGACATGTATGTTGTAGAGACTGGCCATCTTGTCCACCTTTCCAATTCAGCAGGAGATAAGACACAGGAGAAGAACAAAAAATAGACATTTTAAAGTTGTGGTAAACAACATACAATATTTTAAAGGTACAATTCAATTGGAGGCAAATTACTTCTCTAAATTATTAACAACTTACTGTAGCTTTTAACATTCCCATACATATATAGGATTTTTCGGTGGTTATTTCAGCTGAAAGAACACTGGTGGAAGTAGAAATGCTTACCTTGGCATTCAGAGAGAGTGCACACAACACACACATGCACACAGAGTATATCAGTTCGGGCTTTGATCCTGTTAATGACGGTACACGTGCTTAATTGTAAACTTGTAAACAGGTTCATTCACACCAGTAGCGCTGATTATAGGCCTGCAGTCAAGTGTTATTCAGTATCTTGACAGAACCGTCACCTACAACTGCATCTGTAGAGACTGAAGAGAGGCCTGGGGCACTTCTTCAGTTAGCTGAAGGAAACCTTGTTCTCCAAGGATCTGAAACTGCCAAGTCCTCATTGCAGAAACTGACTGTATCCATGGGATTTGGGCGCGCAAGTGCTTGAAGAATCAGTCCTCCAGCAAGCAATAACACCTGACAGGGCAGGGACTAAACTGGAATACCTCTTTGAGTTTTCCACAGACGACCACCCAGTCAAAGAAGTCCCTGGTGTACTTCTTCCTCATGCTGTGCTGTTCTGTGATATATCGTTTTCTTATTGTCCACTAAATAATGAATGGGCAGAAATACATGACTTGATGACAAACCGGCATGAATAAATTATGTGAAGGAATGAAAAAGATGTGCAAAGAGAACAGAAGCATGCGTCTATATGTGCCTTGGAAGGAGATGCATATATGCATGCACCGGGAGGATGGCACTGGCAGGATGTCTCTGCAGAGAAGAGATATGGATTGTCAGGGTTTCATTGCACAGCTAAGAAACAACAGAAGCACACTGTGGGGATCCTCTTAGTACAGCTAAGAAACCATGGAAGCACACTGCAGGGATCTGAAAATGCTTTACGTTGATTTCAAAAAGCAACAACAGCAGCTGGTAAGGTTAGCCGAGCAGGTATAGCTACTGCCAGTTATTTCTTTGACAATAAATGATGAACATTCCTGGTCAGCACTGGGAGAAAGGAGAGTCGAATGGTCACAAATGTAGCATGAAACCTGGCACATCCTATCTCTACCACAGACTTCCAGAACGCCTCGCATAAGCTGCATTAATCTTGCTGTGCTTTTGCTTCTTTTCTGCAAAACGGAGAACTGAGAGCTCTGAGAACAGCTATGCTGCAGACCGAGAGGACCCTGCCACGCCAGCGACACAATCCTCCTCGCAGGGAGCTCAGGCTCAGCTATGCACAGAGTGACCGATCAGCCTAAAGGTGAAGGAATGGAAGTGTCAACCGTCCCAAACTAACCACTTTCCTAACTGCAAGCTCATGCTTTATCTGCCTGAAGTGTCAATGTAAACATTCAACCTAGCTTTTCTAGCTGGCTTAATCTCTATTGGCTTTTATTTTTTTTTTTTTTAAATATAAATTCTCTTTGTATAGGATAATAGCCCAATATATGTACCAAACACTTTCTGCCTATCTTCTGTCTTTTACCTTCTGACACCATCAATCTTCTCATGTCAGCCTATCTTCTGACATCTCTGAGTTTGTGTGAGATACCAAGCACCTTTAGCTTCACTATCTCAGCAGCTTGACAAACCAAGCCGTCTGTTGGAACTTACTTCAGTCTGAAATAATTCAACCTAAGGAGTGTTTAGCTCTGCTAAAAGCAGTTCAAATAGCTTTTTTTTTTTAAATGTGTGGGTCACAAAGTACAGAAGAAATCCTACATCATTATAGTGAACAAGTTCTCAAGTTCACATTTAAATATGTTCTGCCTCACTAGTGCAGTTCAAAATGATTCAGTCTCAAATGGAAATACAATCAAAAAGCCTCCATATACCCAGATTTGGAAAGCAGAGAATAGAATCAGTCCCTAGATCCCTATTCATGATTAATGCTTTGGAGAATATCCTGTGTTCAAAGCATGTTTCTCAAATCAAAGTTATAGTAAAAGGCATCTGTTGAGAAAGACTGTTATGGTGTCATTAGCTCTGTTTTGTCAGAAGACTTCAATCTGGGAACAGTGACATTTTCTTGACTTCTTTTTTCATTTAGATGAGAAAAGTTGTCATTCTGGCATAACACAGTTTGTCATGGTGCTAGTGACTCGTGGGTGGATCTATCGTTCTGCTAATGATGACAAGGAAGGCAAAAAATATGACAGATACTTCACTACTGAATTTGTACAGTGTTTGGGCTTATTTGCTCAGTATACAAAAAGCTTTAAAATATATAATCTTTTTATTATTGTTATTTTTTGAAGAAACGTTGCTGGGGCAGCCTTGCTTATCAAAGTGTATGTAGTTTAATGAAGTTTCCATGACTCAACATCAAGAAATTATTACGAAGAATTTTTAAAAAATCTTTTTAATTTTGTCAAATAAATTATTACTGTTCTTTAATGAACGGTAATTTCATTCTAGCCTTGTGACCCAGTACTCTTCTCCAATAACACTTTTAATTGTGATAAATATTAATCTGTAGAGCAGAGAAGGATTGTTGGTACATAAAAATGTAGGAACATTAGAGCAATATAGGGCACTGTGGTTCAGAAGAACAAAGATAAGTTATCCATAGCTTGTAGTATTAATCGAACTCCATTATCACCAATGTGATAATGCACACAGGTGCCCTGCCAATCTTGGGCATGTGATGCACACTTTTCATTGCAAATAATGACACCATGTAAAGAACCAGTAAAGGCAGCACTGTCAATCTATCTGTCCCTTGAAAGCATGTTTGACTTTCCCTTGGACACATGCTTCGGTTTTTTTCTTGTTTAGTTTCACCCTAGAAATGTGCTACTTGGGGAGTTAATTTAATCTCTCTCTGCAGTGTTACCACATAGAAAAACAAATAGAACATAAAACATCTGTTACAGTTATTTGGATGAAGAAAAGCTTATTTAAATAAAGCACATCTTTAAAATTGCCATAAGGAGCAATAATGGGTACTGAGCTCAGGGTTATGAAATACAGAATGTTGCTTGCAGCTCTGTTTGTAACAGTGGCAGCTGACTTTTGGGAGCCAGGAATATGTTCATCAATGAAGGCACAGAAGCATGAATGGTACTAATGGTAATACACAGCTTAATGTACTCAGATTGTCAGTTTTGGTGACTCTCTGGGTCTGATATTTGGAACTATTGTGCTTTGGTCTTTCAGAGCTTAAAGGCTACAATTAAGCTTCAAAACACATGCAGAAATCTTGCAGCATTTTTACTGACTTCAGTCAGTGAGGACATTGTAATTAAGCCATCACGACATCTTGGAGTCCTGTCTGCCCCTCAAAGCCCCTTTGCATTCATTACTTTTTCTGTGAAGCTCTTTACTGTGGGCCAAGCCCTGTAGGTTGCTTCACACCCCAACACTTCTGATGTCAGATGGTCTTGATTTTTGACAAGCAAAAGGTGCTTTTCACACTTCCATGCCATGGTCTTGGAGTTTAATAAACACACATGAATGAAGTTCATCTAAATCCATTTTTAAAACAGTTTTCTTTTTTCTTTTTTTTCAGAGATAATTTCTATTTTAAGCATAGTTACCTTCCTCAGGGAGCCTTCCTTTAGTGTTGCCAGATTGACCAAATGCTCAGGGTCAGGGTTTTCTTTATAGTGGTCTATCTGATAAATACTATTACAATTTAACTTTTTTTAAGATAAAAAGTATCGAGGTGGAGAGAGTTTCGTTTCCCCCTGGTTTTAATGCATTACCCTACAACAGTCCCTCTTGGATAGCTGGCATTTTAATTCATACTCAGCTGCTGGACAGCTCCAAAAATAAATTGGATTCTGTTGTGTTTCGATTTCCCATTCTCTGTCACGCAGCTGAACCGGTGGCTTCTCTGCCTTTGCTAAATGACCGACTTCTGCTGCCCATTCTCTTCAGGGCTTTTGTGGCGGTCAGCTGAAAGGTGAAAGCTTTTATCTGGCTTCAGGCTCCCTTGAAATAAGTCTGGGAATGAGGCTTACTGTAGGTAGATACATATTAACTGATAGTAAATATTTTACAAATAGCACATAGCTTTGCATTATTTCTAATGAACTAAGTCTAAGATTTTCACTAAGAATGACGAATTCTTTAGGAACTCATGGTGAAGTCATTCCCATAGGATCCAATTCTGTAGCTCTTATTCAATCAAATACTTCTTATTTGTACAAGTTATTTTACTGAGTATCACAAGAATTAGTCACATGAATAAAAGAACTTTTTATAATAGATCATGAAGTGTCCCCAAATACCCCAAATCATATAAGTCAATGCTGGCAGGTACTGTCCTTCAGGAACTGCGATTGGGACTTCTTATTCTACTTTCAACAATGCTCAAATTTCAGAGCAGTTTGTTTGTCTGATGGATTTGCTCATTACAAGAATTTCACTGCACGCCACTGATGGCTGGTTATAAAATAGGCTTCATGACACTATTCTCCACATCCACTGATAAATTAATTCACTGATTCATGGCATGGAATTGGAAAGAAAGTAAGCTAGCTCTTTCTGTCATCCAGTATTTGACTGTGAAATGTTGGTGCTGATGCAAATGTATCCTTAATCTTGTTTAATACAATTTAATAAGAAGTAGGTCAGAAGAAAAAAATACATATCAGTACTTGTTTCCAAATCATTTAGCAGGAGGAAAAAAGCATTTCAGTTGAGTTACAGTATACTTAAACTGGTTTAACTGCAAAGTTTCCTGCAAGAGAGGAATTTTTTTCCCATCTCAGGGAAAAAATTTCCAGTTCCCACAGTATTGATGAATCTGATCCTCTCACTGCATCTCCAGTTGTTAACAACGGTTTAAACTCATTAGAGAGTGGATGTAAATCTCTCTTCAGCCTACACCCATTCATCACTCACTTTAACCAAAACCCCTTTGGTAGAA